TACCGTTAATTTGAGGGATTGGGGTGAAAGAAATCGAGTTACATAGTGATACTTTACGATATACTGTATTGACAATATCGCAATATTTTAGCGCTAGTTGGCTGTACCTGCACCAAAACACCATTATTGTTCCTTCATAGCTTGTTCTCAATCTTTTCACATTGGGAGCCAATTTGTTTTCAGCACTTTTATTTCCATGACTGATCAAAACTCGTTCTCATGGCTTTCTGATCCCTCTGCAACAGACATATGGTGCGCAATAAAATCACAGTATCGAATCGCAATACGTATAGAATCATGAGACTCGCAATGCTGATGCATATATCTTATCGTGAGGTTCCTGGCAATTCCCAGCCCAAGTTCATTTGCCACAACAAATCTCTTCGCTAGCAAACGCGATGTCTTCTCCAAAACGGCAATGTGTCTCCAGCAATGTTTACTTTTTTGACGTTCTATGGCATCTCCACTTTCCAAGCATATATGACCACATGTAATATTTTGGTAAGTGATGCAAATAGTGAACTATGTAGGGCCAGGATGTAAAATATATGTAGCTGCAGCAATTTCTCTTATCTGATATGGTAAGTAATGGGGCTTAATTTATAGCTCCCTAAGAGTTTGACGAACGGGTCCGTGAACGCGATTCCAGATATATTTACCTCTGAATAAACTGCCTTTATTACACCATATCCACCCTGTCCAAAGTCTCTACTTGGTCTCAGTTGGTTCTCCAGTAAACTTGTGATTATCAACACTAACCTCATCGTTGTGGCGGCGGACAGCTAGCCTGTATCCCTCGTCATCCAGTTGAGTGAGTGGCAATGTCTTTTTTCGTTCGTACCAATTTTTGGAAAATCCTCGGGTGTAGGACTTTCCGCCTTTAGTAGAAACCTGTTGAATTATTAAATTTGGTCTGGGAGGTCCTAATTGTTTCGTTGCCAATTTATCTTCATTTGTTCGCCGACAAAAAGGAACTTCTTTCAAACAATCCACTCTTTTCTCAGTTACGTTCATGGTTACGTAACGTATGACGAAAGCGCGTAAGTGCAAGCCCACAGACACCCATTGAGATTGTATTGAAGGCTCTGAAATTTGAAAAAAATAGATTTTACATGGGAGTCTATGACAGACTTCTGGGCGATTTTCAACCTGACTGAAATCGCCCCAAAAGGGGGGGGAGCCATTTGAAGCACGACTTTAGCCTGATTCGACATTTAGTGGCAGTGTGGCACTGTGGCAGATCAGACGTATAGATTACAACACTGATAACTACTGTTGCCGTGATATAATTGATTAGAAAAAAAATCCCTTCCTTTTCCCGTTTGGCAGTGCGTCGCCCATATCGCCCTATTGAACAGGCCGCCCCTGACTGTACCTATGTAAGAATGCTGTTCATTGACTATAGCTCAGCATTCAACACCATAGTACCCTCCAAGCTCATCATTCAGCTTGAGGCCCTGGGTCTGAACCCCGCCCTGTGCAACTGGGTCCTGGACTTCCTGACGGGCTGCCCCCAGGTGGTGAAGGTAGGAAACAACATCTCCACTTTGCTGATCCTCAACACTGGGGCCCCTCAAAGGTGCGTGCTCAGCCCCCTCCTGTACTCCCTGTTCACCCATGACTGCGTGGCCAAGCACGCCTCCAACTCAATCATCAAGTTTGCAGATGACACAACAATAGTAGGCTTGATTACCAACAATGACGAGACCGCCTACAGGGAGGAGTTGAGGGCTCTGGGAGTGTGGTGCCAGGAAAATAACCTCTTAACAAAACAAAGGAGATGATCGTGGACTTCAGGAAACAGCAGAGGGTGCACCCCCCTATCCACATCGACAGGACTGCAGTGGAGAAGGTGGAAAGCTTCAAGTTCCTTGGCGTACACATCACCGACAAACTGAAATGGTCAACACAGGCAGACCGTGAAGTGAAGAATGCGCAACAGAGCCTCTTCAACCTCAGGAGGCTGAAGAAATTCGACATGGCACCTAAAACCCTCACAAATGTTTACAGATGCACAATTGAGAGCATCCTGTCGGGCTGTATCACCGCCTGGTACGGCAACTGCACCGCCCACAACCGCAGGGCTCTCCAGAGGGTGGTGCGGTCTGCCGAACACATTACCGAGGGCAAACTACCTGCCCTCCAAGACACATACAGCACCCGATGTCCAAGGAAGGCCAAAAAGATCATCAAGGACATCAACCACCCGACCACTGCCTGTTCACCCCGCTATCATCCAGAAGGCGAGGTCAGTACAGGTGCATCAAAGCTGGGACCGAGAGAATGAAAAACAGCTTCTATCTCAAGGCCATCAGACTGTTATATAGTAATTGCTTGTCCATATATAGTGGGGGAAAAAATATTTAGTCAGCCACCAATTGTGCAAGTTCTCCCACTTAAAAAGATGAGAGAGGCCTGTAATTTTCATCATAGGTACACGTCAACTATGACAGACAAATTGAGAAGAAAAAAATCCAGAAAATCACATTGTAGGATTTTTTATGAATTTATTTGCAAATTATGGTGGAAAATAAGTATTTGGTCACCTACAAACAAGCAAGATTTCTGGCTCTCACAGACCTGTAACTTCTTCTTTAAGAGGCTCCTCTGTCCTCCACTCGTTACCTGTATTAATGGCACCTGTTTGAACTTGTTATCAGTATAAAAGACTACTGTCCACAACCTCAAACAGTCACACTCCAAACTCCACTATGGCCAAGACCAAAGAGCTGTCAAAGGACACCAGAAACAAAATTGTAGACCTGCACCAGGCTGGGAAGACTGAATCTGCAATAGGTAAGCAGCTTGGTTTGAAGAAATCAACTGTGGGAGCAATTATTAGGAAATGGAAGACATACAAGACCACTGATGATCTCCCTCGATCTGGGGCTCCACGCAAGATCTCACCCCGTGGGGTCAAAATGATCACAAGAACGGTGAGCAAAAATCCCAGAAACACACGGGGGGACCTAGTGAATGACCTGCAGAGAGCTGGGACCAAAGTAACAAAGCCTACCATCAGTAACACACTACGCCGCCAGGGACTCAAATCCTGCAGTGCCAGACGTGTCCCCCTGCTTAAGCCAGTACATGTCCAGGCCCGTCTGAAGTTTGCTAGAGTGCATTTGGATGATCCAGAAGAGGATTGGGAGAATGTCATATGGTCAGATGAAACCAAAATAGAACTTTTTGGTAAAAACTCAACTCGTCGTGTTTGGAGGACAAAGAATGTTGAGTTGCATCCAAAGAACACCATACCTACTGTGAAGCATGGGGGTGGAAACATCATGCTTTGGGGCTGTTTTTCTGCAAAGGGACCAGGACGACTGATCCGTGTAAAGGAAAGAATGAATGGGGCCATGTATCATGATATTTTGAGTGAAAACCTCCTTCCATCAGCAAGGGCATTGAAGATGAAACGTGGCTGGGTCTTTCAGCATGACAATGATCCCAAACACACCGCCCGGGCAACGAAGGAGTGGCTTCGTAAGAAGCATTTCAAGGTCCTGGAGAATTCATTAAAAATCCTACAATGTGATTTTCTAGATTTTTTTTTCTCATTTTGTCTGTCATAGTTGACGTGTACCTATGATGAAAATTAAAGGCCTCTCACATCTTTTTAAGTGGGAGAACATGCACAATTGGTGGCTGACTAAATACTTTTTTCCCCCACTGTATATGCGAATTTTCCATTAGCAGGAAAACGTGACCGCAAATGCGATTATTAATGTAATGCTTTTATTATAAAGGTGCATTTTTATGGCGAAAATTTTCTTCCCCAAACTTGAAACTCACACGCTGCGTATGTATGCCAGTTAGGCTCTACACCAGTTGTAAAGCAGATCAATGTGCTTAATTTTAAGAAGTTATTTGGCCACTTTAGTTGTGATACAAACCTTATCAAAACATATAGGCCTATGGGCTAGGCTACATGAGGTGTGCGACTATGATTTGAAAAAGTAGCAAAAAAAAACATACAATTTGTTTTGATTTAGATTGGACCATTATCATGCTGTCACGCCCTGACTTATGGGACTCTAGTATGTTGAGTCAGGGTGTGGTGTTCTATGTTGTGTTTTCTATGTTGTCATTCTAGGATTGTATGTCTATGTTTGGCCGGGTGTGATTCCCAATCAGAGGCAGCTGTCACTCGTTGTCTCTGATTGGGGATCATACTTAGGCAGCCTATTGGCAGTCACTAGTTGTGGGATCTTGTTCCGTGTTTAGAGGCTTGTATTGTGTTTAGCCTTAGGACTTCACGTTACGTTGTTTTGTTCGTGTGTTTATCGTTTAAATAAACATGTATGCATTTCACGCTGCGCCTTGGTCTGACCAGTCCTTAACCGAACGTGACACATGCACCTGTCTCGAAACAGGGGCAGGGGAAAAATATATATTTAATCTATGCACTTAAATAGCGAATGGAGGACGCTTTTCCCGTGGTTCATTTTCATGCCAGCCAGGTGGGCTATACTCCTGTTTTAAAGATAAGCAATGTGCTTAATATTCGGAAGGTTGAGAAATAAATATAGTAGGCCTAGCCTATAGAAATCCTCCTCTTTTTAATAGAGGCCATCACTCTGTTTTTTCACGCAATTGCATAGCCTATTGAAATGTTGTGCAACATGAGCTCATGGGCTCTCATGAAGTGTTTGATTAGATTTTCGATTACATTTGCATTGATGTCAGAGTGATTAGAGGGACAATAGAGTGCTGAGTACCAGGCGGTTAGCAAGTTTGGTAGGCTACTAATGACCATCAGCAGCATCAGAGCTTGGAGAAGCCTAATTACCATGACTAAACGGTCACATGGAATTTGACTGCCATCATGACTCGTGACCACTGGTGTGACAGTAATACGGTCACTGTAACAGCCCTAATCGCCACATGCATTCACCATTGAATGTTTTGACTCGTAATACAGTATCTGTTAGAAATATTAATTTTAGTTAATGAGTTCAACATAGGCAGTCACATTTACATCATAAATATTGCAGTATAAATACTAGTACATTGACTTCATGTTCACAATATGTGTTACATTGTCCGTCTGTGAAAGATTGCAAGACCCACCTTTTCTTCAGTTGGATAGGTTCACAGCCATATATTTAGAAAGGGTAATTTCCCCTTGAAAAATGGAGGCTCGTGTGGTAGTAGAAGTATGTATCTGTGTATGTATATTTCTCTGGATATGTTTAATGATTTTGTTATGTATTAATTGATCATAATATCGGCTGTTTCTCAGAAAGTACATCCAATCAGGCTGAATTACAATATTTATATCTTATTATGACTCAATGTTATTCAATATTGATACCGTTGATTTTTTTTATAGAAAACTGAGGCATTGGATAAGTACTTTAATGCTAGTAGTAACATGCTGCAGTATCATAAGCTTTCCCTGCTAGGTATATCTGAATTATGTTCAGACATAAAGGTGCAATACACTTCACAAAGCCACTATTCTGTTTCATGGAACACTCAGTAACACCACGCCCCCAAAAAAGCCAGTTTCACAAGTCATCACTGGTGATCACAAGGCCGTTGGCTATCTGGTTCTCAAGAATAATCCCCTCCTCGTCCTCCTGCACAAGCAATGGAGAGAAATAAAAATGATCAACGACAAGCATTTTAGGTCTTCACAATAATTGTTTTTCATACGAGGTCTAGTAAATCATTTATTAACCTGTTAGATATACAGTATATCTTATAATTACTCAAATGATTCATAATCTACTAAAGTAGATGACGATCAGGTATACTTTATCCTCCTTGTTGTTTTGGATTAGCAGAGGTCACTCACCTCTTCTCTGGGAATGTAGTCTTTTTCTGTGCTTCTGTACGACACCACGTGGATAAGAGTATAAACTCTGAAAAGAGAAACATAGCACAGTGTACTTTTAGTTTGATTTCATCAAGACTCATCACAAGATAACTGAGCTGTAGCTTGCATTGAGCTGTAATAATGCGCACAGCATGAGATTGTAATCTTTATTCTATTCATCTTTCTGTCTTTTATTTTGACATTTCTGTCCTCTTAGGCATGTTTGGAATGGTGGTGTTATGTAGATATATCATACTGTGTTTGAGAAATGAGAAATGTTTGCCCACCTGTGGTAAAGCATAGCCAGGAACTGCACCACGAGAAGCACAGCGAATGACAAGAGGAACATCAGACTGAGAGGCTCCACCTTCAGGTATTCTCCTGATGATGTGCCATTTGGCCAGACTTTCTGAATCTTGATACTAATCACATCATTTCCAATGGCTTGTAAAAAGAAAGTGGCCACTATCCACAAAACGTTGACGATGAAATACAGAAACACTGCCTGTAAAACAACAAAAAATCGAAAGATGATCATTCTACGAGCCGTGTTTTTAGTAGAACGTAGTAAATAAATAGTAGAATAACAGAATAAAAGCCCACCTTGTTTCGTAGTGACTTCAGTTCCTTTGTCACCTGCTCTTTATGAGCTTTGTCGTCAACGATAGGTGCGAGGTATCTCTCGAGCAGTTTCTTCCAAAAGTCGAGTTCATCCTGACAAAATACACAGGGAAACATGGTCGGTATATTTCCTCATTTTATTGGAACACATTGTTGCTCAACACTGTCTGTTGTTCAGATTATCACTCAAAGGGTCTGGTTCCAGATTACTGAGTCATCTTGTTGCTGAAGTCCATCCCAGGTCAAAGATGTAGAGAAAACAATGTCCGGAGCTGCACTGGTAAGTCACCAGGCAATACAATATAACATGAAATATAATATGAATGGTGTGTTTTCACTCAAGCATTACCTCAGTGAGTTTCTCCACCTGTGGGGCAATGAGGGTCTTCTCTATGGCTCTTTTCACCCTCCTCTCAAGCCTCTCCATGCGGTTGGTTTTCAGGATCCTCCTGGCAGCCTCGTTAAGGGCGTACTGCAGCTCTTCTAGCTGGCTGTCGCTCAGCACGTCCTCTGGGCCCACCTTGTCCTTCAGCTCTCCGTTCACCGTGTCCGTCAACATCATCACCAGCTCCTCACACACATCCTCCTGGTTCTTGTTCCTCAGTGTGTAGCGGATCTGCTCCTGAAGGTTCCTTTTCAAGTTGGCGTAGGTCAATTTCTTCAGGAACTCTTCCTTGACAGGCTGAACCCAATCTATTGAAAGCAAATTGTGTAGAGGTGCTGTTGATTATAGTTCAACTTGTAGTTACATACTGACTTTCTGTATGTTATAGGTTACAGCTATTATCTTTCATGTACTGATCCACCTACCACTTTGAGGTACAATTTCTCTTTCTTCCTCGGTGAAGCCACTGTAAACCGAACCGGCATAACCCATATTATCATCGTCATCGTCATGGTTATCGTCGTTGTCATCTTCAATGCTGGAATAGGCACTCTCCTTTTTAGGAACGCTGTCAACACTGCTGTGAACAAGAGGATAAAAAGTTACAACAGGTACAGTAGCCCTTCATTTGATAGAAGTTTGTTGTAGACAGTATATGAGAGAGAGATCCTTTGGGCCTTTGTGAAATGTTTTGTACATGCCTTGTATCAGATTCTGAGTCTTTGTCTTTCTTGGCTCTTCTTCTTTCTAAAAGCTCTGGACTTATTTCCTTATTATTTTCTTCATTCAGTGCGTTGTTTTTCTCTTCCTTGGTGTCGGGCTTCTGTTCTTGCACCACTTGCTGGGTGACTTGTGTGTTTGGATTCACTGCCTGCTGGAGTTGCTGGAGCATCAAGTTGTCGGTCTCTTGGGTGACTTGTAGTTTCATATCCCAACAGCAAAGTTTGCAGTTGCGATCACAGAGAACATTCTGGGTCTTCTTCTCTTCTTTCTCCTTGTTTGTCTCTCTGGTGCCCCATGTGACAATGTGCATGTTCACCAGGGAGTAGATTGTGAGCAAGAGATAACCACTGGGGATACAGATGAAGTACATCAGACCATAGATGATCATGCTGAACTCCTGGGGGTGAAGGAGGGCTGTCACCAGGTACATGGCAGCCATGGACAACAGGAAGAGGCCAGTTGGGGTGATGAATGTGCCCTGCATAGCCATGTCACCTGGGGAACGCATGAAATGAAATGTGTATCGTAATAGTCTGACCTGGCACCCAATCAACAGTAGTGATGTAAGATGTAGTGGTAAATTACAGCCAAATCTCAGCACCCAAAACCAAATCAGTTACAAATGCTGTCATGCAAGACTAAATGCAGCTCAATGTCATACAGCATGTTTGGATGAAAAGAAAGTTGACCAAATTCTACCTATTACTGATGATGACAGGTTAACAGACAATGTCAAAAGATAATTATAATTATTCTGATGGGCCAGGCAACAACATCTCATTTATCACCAGCCTCTACCCTTTAAAGGATTAGAGGTAACCTTTATATTTGCATAAACAACTTGGTACTGTATGTTGAGTGAATGGTCATGTGAAAAGTCATTGCCAAAGCTTACCGATGATGGCGAAGAATGATGCTAACATCAGAAAGGCGTACAACACACTCATAATGCCTGCGATGGTGATCTGGGTGTTTGGTTTAGCCAGAAAACAAATGAACATGTAGAAAATAGGTGGGATGACTGATATTATGATGGACAGGGTTCCTTCAATTTGGAACACAAACTGGAAAGCACCTAAAGAGGAAGACAGAAAAAGGGGTGAATACTTCCTGGGATGGAGATCTGTATATCCTAGCATATAACCTAGCATATAACCTAGCATATAAGAACAATACTATTTGACCTCATCTTAACTCATCTTCGCCACATGACTTTATGGTTTTATTGAACCAAAGCAAAAGTCATATAACTGATGGGTGGGCATACTTTATACTGTTTGTCCTTTAGCCCTGTGCCATAAAATGTGTAGTCATACGTAATCTCGTTCACCCAGCTGGCTCTCTGCCTGACGTTGAGCTTTTGAACTTACTGACAATTCGAAATACTTAACTTGACAATAGAATGTTATATGTACTGTATATGGGGGATACAACCACCCGATCAATAATATAATAATACTCTTAGCAAAAATGTTTATTTTTCATTTACAATCTGTAGAAACTATGAGAGGTTCAGAACTTTTGTGATACAGCACAATGGAAAATATATGGCAGCTATAAATCAAAACTGGATGGTCTTCAGAGATAGATGGGAAGGGTTGAGGGTAGCTGAAGGATGGGACTAAAAACAAACAAAATATAACTAATGTAAAATATACTGTGTCCATAAAATGTATATAGTATGTATAAACTGGGAGTAGAAGCCTAAGTATGGTTGTCCATTAGTTTACTCCAATTAGGGGAGGGGTGGTAGGGTAAAGAAGGAAAATATATATATTTTTTAATATACAGTATTTACAAAAATACACACTACCAGTCAAAAGTTTGGACACACCTACTCATTCAAGGGTTTTTCTTAATTTTTTCTATTTTTTACATTATAGAATAATAGGGAAGACATCCAAATGATGAAATAACACATGTAGTAAGCAAAAAAGTGTTAAACAAATCAAAATATATTATATATTTGAGATTCTTACCACCCTTTGCCTTGATGACAACTTTGCACACTCTTGGCATTATCTCAACCAGCTTCATGAGGTAGTTACCTGGAATGCATTTCAATTAAAAGGTGTGCCTTCTTAAAAGTTAATCAGTTGTGTTGTGACAAGGTAGGGGTAGGGGGTATACAGAAGATAGCCCTATTTGGTAAAAGACCAAGTCCATATTATGACAAGAACAGCTCAAATAAGCAAAGAGAAACGACAGTCCATCATTACTTTAAGACATGAAGGTCAGTCAATACGGAACATTTTAAGAACTTTGAAAGTTTCTTCAAGTGCAGTCGCAAAAACCATCAAGCACTAGGATGAAACTGGCTCTCATGAGGACCGCCACAGGAATGGAAGACCCAGAGTTACCTCTGCTGCAGAGGATAAGTTCATTAGAGTTACCAGCCTCAGAAATTGCAGCCCAAATAAATGCTTCACAGAGTTCAATTAACAGACACATCTCAACATCAACTGTTCAGAGGGGACTGTGTGAATCAGGCCTTCATGGTCGAATTACTGCAAAGACACCAATAAGAAGAAGAGACTTGCTTCGGCCAAGAAACACGAGCAATAGACATTAGACCGGTGGAAGTGTGTCCTTTGGTCCAAATTTGAGATTTTTGGTCCCAACCGCCGTGTCTTTGTGAGACGCGGTGTGGGTGAACGGATGAACTCTGCATGTGTATCACCGTAAAGCATGGAAGAGGACGTGTTATGGTGTGGGGGTGCTTTGCTGGTGACACTGTCTGTGATTTATTTAGAATCCACTTAACCAGCATGGCTACCACAGCATTCTGCAGCGATACGCCATCCCATCTGGTTTGGGCTTAGTGGGACTGTTTTTCAACAGGACAATGACCCAACACACCTCCAGGCTGTGTAAGGGCTATTTTACCAGGAAGGAGAGTGATGGAGTGCTGCATCAGATGACCTGGCCTCCACAATCCCCCGACCTCAACCCAATTGAGATAGTTTGGGATGAGTCGGACCGTAGAGTGAAGGAAAAGCAGCCAACAAGTGCTCAGCGTATGTGGGAACTCCTTTAAGACCGTTGGAAAAGCATTACAGGTGAAGCTGGTTGAGTGTGCAAAGCTGTCATCAAGGCAAAGGGTGGCTATTTGAAGAATCTCAAATATAAAATATATTTTGATTTGTTTAACACTTATTTGGTTACTACATGATTCCATATGTGTTATTTCATAGTTTTGATGTCTTCGCTATTTTTCTACAATGTAGAAAATTGTAAAAATAAAGAAAAACCCTTGAATGAGTAGGTGTGTCCAAACTTTTGACTGGTACTGTATATATGGGGGATTGGAAATGATGCAGGTATATATGGGGGATTGGAAATGATGGGGCGGCAGGTAGCTTAGTGGTTAAGAGCGTTGTGCCAGTAACCGAGAGGTCGCTGGTTCTAATCCCCGAGCTGACTAGGTGAAAAATCTGTCGATGTGCCCTTGAGTAAGGCACTTAACCCTAATTGCTCCTGTAAGTCGCTCTGGATAAGAACGTCTGCTAAATGACTAAAATGTAAATGTAAATTCATTGATAGAAGCCACATTCTATCTGCAATATTGAAGCTGATCTACCCCCTAATAAAAAAAATCACTTAAGGGAATATGTGTATTCTAGGTAATATAATATAATGAGTAATTGGTTAACAACACACAGACATAAAGGGTGCGTACAATTAACAAGAATGAACAAAACAAGCCGAGGGTGAGATGGTACCTGCTATCATCAGAGATACAGAGGCAGGACCGAGAATGGATGAGCTGACAGTAAATATCTGGTAGAAGATGTACAGTCTGGAGATAGAAGAGTTCCTCTTGACCGTCTCATTGCCGCTGTGCAGGAGGTCCAGGGTGTTGGCCAGAGTGGACGGCCCCCAGCGCCGCCTCTGGTTGTAGAACTCTTTGAACTCCTGAGGGGAGTTGGTGTAGGCGTCCGACGCAGCGTTGTACTCCACTCTCCAGCCCTGCTGAAGGAGCAGGGTGCACAGCCAGCGGTCCTCACCTGGCCAGCGGGAAGAGGGAATATTAAAGGAAGTCAATATACATATCAGGTCCTAGGACTGCTCTAGGGAACACTTAATGAGCAAGTAAATGTGTATGTCACCCTTGGTCGATTTGAAGCCAACAGAAATAGCTCAAGAAACTGTGATGAAACGTTCTATGAACCTCCGGTTGTACAGTATAATACTCCAGTAGCCAATCAAGTGTTGTTGATGGGAGAACAAGAAAGTAGTCACCTTGATCATATTGAACGTACTCGGAGGCTCTAGTTGCAGTGGTGGTGTATCTCTTCAGCACATTGTCATCCATCAGAGCTGATCCCCTGAACAAGCTGAAGCATCCGGGACTGCAGAGGACTGAACCAAACACGTGCTCAGCTGTTTTCTGGAGCCAGTGACCAACGGCGTACTCAAATTTCTGATACCACACCATTGGACCTACAATAGAAATCAAGAAACATGTCAGTCATGCTGTAGCGATAGCCTACATCTCCATGTCATACTGTGTGATGGAGATGGAGAAATGTAGCAAGACTTGTTTATACATAATCTCTCAGCAGTAATGGTTGGAATTGGATTAGGGGCTCACTATCGTGGAAGTATCACGGAAGATCTGCGATAAAATGTGAACTTCCATTTCCGATTGAGCCGACACATGCAGCGTTTACCGTGAATGCAGTCTCCGCAAACACGGGAACATTGCCTTTACATTTCAAGCGAGCTATAACGCAGATTTTTCGCGATGCTTCTGCGATACGGATAGATGCACTTGAAATATACTGTATGCTAGACATAGCCATGTCTGAGTGGACCCCCTAACTCACAACCGGCCGTGATTGGGAGTCCCATAGGGCGGCGCAAAATTGGCCCAGCGTCGTCCGGGTTTGGCCGGTGTAGGCCGTCATTGTAAATAAGAATGTGTTCTTAACTGACTTGCCTAGTTAAATAAAGGTAAAATACAAATAAAATCAGCTTTACTCACCCATTCCTGTAGGGTGGATTCTTCCGCATGCAGCACCCACATTGCCGTACTTCCGAAGTCGGTCCACCAGTAATATCAGAGCTGCGGGCTGGAAGTCTGTGTCCCCATCCAGGGCCATGATGTAGGTATTGTCATCAGAGATGTGTTTTCTCTTACTGTCATTGTCATGCTGTGGCAACAGGAAACTCTCCCCATCCAATGATATGAGACTGGCACGGCAAGGATTATTCTGTCTCTGTAGAAGACAGAGAGGGAAAAAAGCATACACTTTAATTTAGGGAAACCATGGAAACCACTGATTTTTCATATTTACAGATCATCTGTGTTGCAGGGATAAAGACAATAACATGGAAATTAGCATTCAATATATTACATACCGTTATCTTCTGAGGATTCTTCACACTGTATCCTTTCCATCCAAGCAGATAGTAGAGGTACATGATCTGAAAGACATGTCAGATGCAAACCTATAACCTTTCATTTTCCTCAAGTGTGTCCATACTAAAACAAGAAAGCAATTACAATATATTCACGTTCTTTAAGAAATGTCATTAAAGTATGTTTAAATAACGTAGGTTAACAGTGGTTACAGTGGTGAAATCATGGAATACAGTAATATTAAAAATCATCCTACCCACCTGTGACCATCTCTTCTTGTTTCTGATCAGCTGTTTGTCTTTCAAATGGAAATACAGCATGTTTCCTTCTGGCATCACAAACATTAATCGGCCACCATAGGGAGTCTCGATAATTGACACATCATCGGGCTCCTTATTGGTGAATACCCTAAAACACACAAACATTCAAGATTCATTATGAAACAGTTGTCTTTGGATTAATAGAATTGCCCATTTATAGTGAATGCATCTTAAAGTAGAGCTTGCTTGTGCTCATTAATTGACACTATTGGTCTGGGTTTATAGGGAGTAAAGTGCAAAGAAATATGAAATGTCCACTTACCTGTAAACCTCTATGACCACATGAATGAGATCGGTCACATATTCGTTGATTAACTTTTTGCCCATATTCTTTTCTATCATGTATGCATCATCTACAAATATGTGGCACTCAAAGTCAAAAACATCTTTATGTTCCTCTTTTGGATCACCTCTGTACCGGTCCAACCTGAAACCATCAAGACACATGACATAACAGAAAATCCTATTTTTATGCAAAACATTATAATAATCACCTCCTTATCATTCATTGTATTTTGTGAAAGTCTGTTTGTCCTGTACACACTAAGGTTGTACAACTGATGGGTAACAGATGTCATACAATAGGTTGTAATATAACTTATATTTTTGTGATTCAACGGAGAGTTTGTCTGTACAGACATGTTTACACAACCATTTTACGGTGTAATTATTTTTGTGCAGAAAAGCTCTATCACAACCAGTGACAAATATGTTGAGTGCTACATGAGTTATACAACTTGAGTGCAAGTGTGTACGGGGCCATTGTCTTGTGTTGTATACAAGAGGTCTCTGCTGCACACACTCACTCACACACACTCACACACACACACACACACTAATGTTATGAATTGATATTAAATAACTTTCAGGGCTAGAAATATTTCAATATCAAAGACAGCCAGCAAAATTGATAAGCACAATACCTGAACATGGATGTGAGGATCTTCAACATCTCGTCATAGGTCTCATGCCACATTGTTGCACAGAGGTAAATGACACAATTCTCAATGTCGTCAACAACACTACTGTAGAATGAACGACATGGGGAAAGTATGAGAACATGTTTGGACGGATGGGGAGAGATAGAACAGTTTCTAATCATGTTTGAATGCAGTGATCAGAGTTAATGTCAGTGAGTATATTTCAGCACACTACCACCAAGACTCTTTCTTATATAGTGCACTGTCGGCAAAACTCAACAATTACTGAACAATTGTCTGTTTACACTGTTGCAATGTGAAGTCTTAAACCACGTGAACTTTTAATCAATTAAATAGCAGAATCTTGCCTCTCCTGGTTCCTCATTTGCACAACCTTCATCTTGGTGTTCAGAAGCAGAGACAGGTCGATGAAGGCAGACTCGTAGAGGCGTCGTACAAACAGCTCAGTTGTGCGCTCGATCCTCTGGACCTTGAAGTTCCACACGTAGTAGGTGCATGTGATGAGCCCGAGCCACATGCAAATGCCCTCCAGCGCAAGTAGGGAGAAAGGCCAGGTCCAGTAATGGCTGTTCAAAGAAGTCCTGCAGATGCTCTTGGTGAGCTCCAGCATCACGACTGCGCTGGTGTTCTTGGTGCTCAGGTCCACTAGGCTCGAGCAAAAGTCTATGATAGAAGTTGTGTCGGCCCCAGCTAGGTATTCAGATTGCGTTAGGAAAAGGATCATGCCGAGGATGAGAACGGCGGGCCCGGTAAAACAGATAGGGAAGGCGAAGCTCATTCGCACGGAGTGGATCTTACAAGCCACCACCCCAAACCAATGGCATGCAGCGGAGAAAAAGGCTTGGAGGAAAAGGACAGTAAGACCAATATCAAGGGTCTCTTTATGCCTCGCAATTGTACTTTCATCTTCATCGGCCTTAGGAGTGAAATCAAAATCTGACCATACAATGTTTTCCTGTATCAACGCGTGGTAGATGAGGTACACAGCAGCAATGACTACGACCCTTAGGAGACTCGATATCACAAATACAAAATCTCTGAAGGTGTCCAACTCAGTCAGCATTTCCTGCATGTTGTTGCTCGCCTGCACTGGGTTTTCCCACCAGGTCAGAGAAACCAGAAAAGATGAAAAAACTGCAATGCCAACATACCAATAACAGTCATTTTCCTGAAGTGATACAAACGAGGTAACACGAACGTAATAGTCTGCCCCGAGAAGACAGTAGCCGGTCAGAACAAGCATAAGAGAACAAATAGGGAAGATGATCTTCCAGTTCTCTCTCTGCAGGCGAAATGCTATCTGTAGAACAGAGGAAAGCATGCAGACTCCGCCAGAGATGAAGAGGTTGGTCAGCACGTCAAACTGGGGCATCACTACCAGCACCAGGATGGAGGTCCCAAGAGACACCAAGCATTCAATCCCACACACCTGAAAGATACAGATTTACATTTGTATTGACAGCAAGCAGTGTTGGGGAAGCAACTCTGAAAATATAGTTTACCAGGCTACCAGTTACTTCACACTAGAAGAAGTTAAGCTACACTAAAGATACCCTTAAAAAACTAAAGTTACTTTGAAAAAGTAGTTCACTACATCCAAACTACTTTGTGAAATATTATCATATGTAAATCTGAAATGTCATAGACTACAAATTGAAAGAATAGATTACTTTGGGGTCATATGTCAACAGAATGTTTAATTTAGCCTATATAACACAAACACGATGTTTCAAGTGAGAATTAGGCGGTTCTGATGCTGAAAAAGAAAGGAAATTCTTGCCTACTTCACCCATATTTTCTTTTTGCAGAAAAAAGTAGTGTGTAGTTCCAGTAGTTAGCTACACCGCTACATGGTAAAAAATATTAATAATAACTACTGAAAACACTACCTAGATTATAAATTAATTCCCCAACACTGACAGCAAGCAATTTGAGCAGCAATTAAGACACAAAGATCACCAAGAAGTCAAAGCAAGCAATTTGAGGAGCAATTAAGACACAAAGATCACAAATAATCAAATTGTATAATATTTCAGCGTCAACTTACAATTCCCATAGTTCTCATGTTTGGTGGGACGAAGTTCTTGAAAGCGCATTTCCACAGTGACTTGAGGAACACGAGCAGGTTGGGCACCACCAAAGAGCACACCAGCATGAGCATGTAGTATTGTCTTTCCTTGGGAGTCCTAGTCGATGTGGGGCTTGAGAGTGTGGAGAGAACCAGTAGAGAGCCCTGACGATTGGATGTAAACAAAACTGACATCAGACTCCTAATATTATAGAATCTAAGATTCCTTCATTTAAACACTGATCTACATAGTGAGTGTGAACAATTCCTTCATAGTGTTTTGACTTCACGAGGAGAATGTTTGCAGTGTTAGAGAGAAAAAACAGATAGGAGAGTACTGTGTCTAGGGTATCAACCTGGTCTCAGAGCATTTCGTATTATTCTGTACGTAAATCCGAGGCCCCATTTAGTATGATATGTTATGTATCGTATGGTATGAATTAATTTGTGGATGTCCATCACCCATTTGGTATGACATGTTACGAATTACAATGAGCAGATTTGAGATCTGTCTCATAAAGAACGCATACCCCTTCCCTTGTATACTATTCATCAATGCTGAGTTGTGGGAATGTATCTGATATGGTATGAATTCGATATCGCTATATATGATTATAAGATGACATCCCAGGAGGTATTATGCTTGAGCCAGTAGTTTACAGGTTCATGGTGCTGGGGTCAATGCTGGATGGGATGTGAAATTTGCATTTTAGCTAACCCTAATCCTTTTCCTAATCTTAACCTAATTCTCCTAACCTGCTACGTTAATTATCCTAACCTGCTGCGTAAGTTCTCCTAACCTGCTACGAAAAGTCAATTCTGATCAATTCTGACATAAGATGTATCCCATCTAGACAAAACCAGGTGCTGGTCCCTCATTTTGGCTCACCTTGCTGATGACAGCACTGGACAGGACCATTATCCCCACAAACGCTGCCACCAGGTGCTGGAACAACTCAAAGCATCTTCTCTTTTCCTCTTTCTCAGCACCAATGGGATTCAACTGGAAAGGATCCCAGGTGTCCCTGTGACAGTATCGAACACAATTTCAAACAGTTAGTTAAAACTGTTCATTACTGTTTCATAAACCGTCCTTAAAATAATAACTTCTGGTCTTTATAAACCCTTTATAAAGTGTTACTGTAATGTCTGACTTGAAGATACGTTATATCCAGTGATGGGAAGGTACATATGTAGGATCTTAATTTGAGTGGTTTCTCACAGCAGGAAAATAATCCTGCAGCAACAGGAAATGTGAATTATTGTGTGGACCCCAATTAACATTATAACATTTTAAAATTGTAAATGTTGAATTACAAACTTTAGAAGCCTTTTAAACCCTTGAATACAATACAAGTTAGCGTTTCCTGCTGTGCATTTTCTGCAACAACAGGGTGATCAAATTAAGATCCTACACCTGTAGTTAACTTTAGTAGTTCATCAATGGGTCAAAGGAAGTAAGTTACAAGTGACATCATATAACATCCATTATAAACTGGGTGGTTCGAGCCCTGAATGCTGATTGGCTGACAGCCGTATACCACGGGTATGACAAAACATTTATTTTTACTGCTCTAATTACATTGGTAACCAATTTATAATAGCAATAAGGCACCTCTGGGATTTGTGGTATATGGCCAATATACCACGGCTAATGCTGTATCCAGGCACTGGCCTATCCACAGGGGGTAGTTGGAAGACCCATAACATTGTAACACCTTGAATTTCTCCAAACAGAAACAAGCTAGAGTGATGAAACCTACACAGTGCATGTCCATTTAGGTTCTCTCCCTGCTTGTAAAGTCACAGCCAAATCTTTCACTATTTGCACGTTTTATGGGCACTTTTTTGGGGGGTGAAAGTATTTTTCTTACTGCCCTGAGAATTCATTCCCAATAATTCAAACTAGCATAATTTGTATCACCATCTGTTGGCTAAACATTGACATGAATGATGTGTCACTATTGTTGTCTGTTGCTAAGCACATGAGGTTTTGTCATGGCAGCTGGTTTGGGGGCAATTGTAACACAGTGTTAAAATGACCCTGAGCCAAGCAACCAAATGATGAAAACAAGTGATTTTAACTTTAAGATTGTATGAATTATACATTAATTAAACAAATACTAACTTTAAATAGCATTGGGGTCCTGTAGAGTGCCAAAGAAGTTGTAAACAGATATAATCTGGACACAATCAGACTATTCAGATGTTTTGAGAGGAACCAAATGGACATGCACAAACATGGGTGTTACTGTAATTATTGGTTAAGTACATATAATTACTAATATTTCTAGCAAAATTATTACATATGATGATTCATTAACATGAATGTTTTTTAAGTTAAGTACATTTATTTGGTTTATTTTTAGGGTGTTACATTTGACCCCAGCAACTGTTAGAATTGCCCCTGCCACGGGGGAAAATTGTCACGACTCCCTCCGAAGCTGCCTCCTCTCCTTGTTCGGGCAGGCTTCGGCGTTCGTCATCACCGGCCTTCTAGCCACTGCCGCTCCTCATCTCATCATTCCATTTGTTTTGTCTTGTTTTTCACACACACCTGGTTCATATCCCCTCATCAGTCTCTGTATAATTATTCCCTCTGCTCCCCAATGTCTTTGTGTGTTATTGTTCCATGTGGAGTTGTCGCTAGCTCGTGTTGAGCATTATGTTACTTTTATCGCCGGGATATTCACCCGTGTGTTTTGTTTTCCCAGTATGCATTTAAGTCGCACTGTATTTGGTTTACGCATCGCTGTGGACTGCTGTATTGGCCAAATAAACCCTATTATTTTATTCACACCTCCTGCGCCTGGCTCCGTCCTACTCACCTTGTAACAAAAATGTAACGTCCAGACTTTTCGGATTAAAATCGATATTGTGATCCGACCGTCTTATGTACATACCTAGAAATTGTATAAATGATTAGGAGACATATGTACGTTTCTTATATCAAAACATGACTGGCCTAGTTCAAGTGATTTCTGAGCCGTAGAGTAAAAGAGAAAAACTGTTACAATTTCCTCCAGTCTCCCTTACTTCAGGCAGAGCAAAATATAATTGTGGGTACAGTTACCAAAAAATATTGAGAACCACTGGTCTTTTAGATGGATAGTATTTGACAAAAAAATCCACAGATTCGGTAATAAAAAAATCAAATCAAATTGTATTGGTCACAATATTTAGCAGATGTTATTGCGGGTGTAGCGAAATGCTTGTGTTCGTAGCTCCCACAGTGCAGTTGTATCTAACAATTATATATTTAAATTTGTTAATCTATTGATGAGTTTATTTATACCTATAATTGTATGCTATTATTAACCCTAAAGCATGAATTCATTGCAATGCCTCTGTCATGCTCGTTTAGTCTAAGCATATAGTGTATGTAGTCATTTAACAAATATTACATTGTAAGATGCTTGTGGTGTTTTCATTCCTATTAAACGGCTTCCTTTCAATATAACAATGTCAGTATTGATCTGATTGTATATTGTTATCACGCTATACCCTCCGTACAATAATATATCAATTATAACAGCTTCTAGTGACATCTCACACACTGACGAGGCTAATTCCAGCATTATCAGTGCAGAACAGAGGCCCACGATATGGAGCATTTGGGAAGGAATTCAACTTTGCTTCCTTGTATTGTATATCTTCAAAACGACATTCTCATTAGCCTCCCAATAATGGTAAATTATATCTACCGTAGTACATGGTATAGTTGTATCATGATATAGTTATATTACTTCTATTTAGTATGATTTCAGTATAGGTGGAATGTTTTCAATTTGTGGAATGATTTCTGGTTTTGTCTACAGTGCTAATTATTTTCAGTATCAGGCCCTGTGAATCCTAACAGTTTTGCTTGAAATGATTCTCACTTGAACTAAATTAAATTATTCTAGATGGATAAAACTAACCTGTGCCTCCCTTCCCTTTTCCGCCCTCTGAATTTGAGCTCCTCCATTTTTCACCGTCCTTCGTGGTAGAGCTCAGTGGTCCTTAGTCCTAGTCCATTTGCTGAGGTACTAAGGTATTGACATGCGTCAGTTTACTTTAATAAGCGACCACTATTTGAGATGCCTCAGGCCCTCCCCCTTTTACTGTCCATTCACCCATAAAGAGGTACAAAGATCATCCGCAAGACGTGACACTAATATTTTTATTGTCTCTCACGGAAATGAATGAAACTAAAGTTTACATTTTGAGGTATCTTTTTGCTTACCTTTATGACAGTTTACACAATTTACATACTGTATGTACAAACTTAACCACCTCAAACATTTACATGTCTTCAGTGGGCAATTTCGTCACCAAGATGAGTTACATAGCAACAATTTTTTAAGAATATACTTGATATTCTGGTTCTATCATTACAGAACATAAATTAACAGATATTCAATGCAAGGTCATAGTATGATGAATGGCCTCATACATAAATACCCACCACACCCAAACTTAAACACTTTGAGATGTGATTTTGCTTTCAGGACTCCTTTAACAATGCTTTTGGATTACAAATGAAGAATGTGTAAAAAAAAAAAAAAAAAAAAAAAACTCCCTCAGTATACAAAGACCCTCCATTTGTACTATGTCTACAAAAATAAGAGACACAGATCTCTTAAGGCAGAGTTCAGAGAGCTTATTTCCATGTTAATGTGTACACTGATCGATTGTTCCATTTTTATCCTCCCAATTTAGGTAGGACTTTGGTTTCATAAGGAAGTGAAAATGAAGTGAAGAAAACACTTGTCTGCAGTGCGGGGAGAAAAATATCCCCCCCCTTGACAAAATTTGTGCTTAGTACACAGTGACACACTTCCTGAACTTGCTACGGTATCGCAGATCATTAGCCACTTTGGCATAGAAGCCTAAATGTCCTTGTTGTTTGAGAGGGCAATATGACGTCTGTCATGCCCCATGGCTGATACGCCAGGTATAAATTATACTATTACAGTAAATCACAGCCATCTATTCAACTTGAACTTTGAAATGACACACTATTACATAACCAGCGAGCCAACCCAACCCCAAGGTGACACTGCATGTGAATCACAATGTGAATAACCCCACATAAAAGGTCAACTGTATTATGTTACTGTTCAGTGTGAAGAATAATGTTACAATTTCAGTTAAGGTTTACTGTACCTGGGTTATCCTCAGGTTTGTAGGCAGTGTTGGTCATCATTTGCCCTATTGGCCATAACTCATATGCTCAACTGTTTTAAATGCCATAGATTGGCAAATTAATGTAATTGAATTGGATATGTTGGTTGGCGGTTGCATGGTTACCTGATATTTCTGTTTATTCCATAATCGGTGAGTAAACAAACATTTGAGTCAGCTCTTACTGTGTTCGTGTGTGTGTGTGTGTGTGTGTGTGTGTGTGTGTGTGTGTGTGTGTGTGTGTGTGTGTGTGTGTGTGTGTGTGTGTGTGTGTGTGTGTGTGTGTGTGTGTGTGTGTGTGTGTGTGTGTGTGTGTGTGTGTGTGTGTGTGTGTGTGTGTGTGTGTGTGTGTGTGTGTGTGTGTGTGCTCATGTGCGTGCATGTGGAGAGAGAGAGAGAGAGAGGGAAAGGGAGAGAGGGAGGGAGAGAGGGAGGGAGAGAGTTTAGGCTGTGGGGGGGGGGTCTCATGAAATTTGAGGAATGTTGTACATTGCTAAAACTAATATTGTTTTCAATGGCCAGCAACATATAAGATGGGTTCAGTGATCAGGAAAAGCTCAAAGTTAAAGTTAGTTGGAAAGTTCAGATCAATTACCTCTTGATTTAGTCAATTGATCAACTCAAAAGTTTGGTAAGCTACAATTTTATCTTGATCCTTTTGTCTCGATTTCTCCCCTTATTCACTAGCTCAGAAAGCATCTCTGTATGGAATATTTTAAGAATCCTGAATGTGTAGGATGTTACACACAGATATTGCTTCAAGCCATTCCTTTACACCCTTTATGGTCCATCTCATCTCCCTCTCCTCCCTCTCCCTTTAACAATCTCACCCACAGCCTAATAAAAGTAGACATTGTGTAAAGCGTTTTTTCTCTCTCCCTCCCACTCCCTCTGCTTTCTGTTAACCCCCTAACGCCTGTCCCCTCCCCCATTCCACTTCTCCATGCTATCTCTTCATCGCTCATGTCGAAAAGCAGCTGGGGTCGGGAACAAAATCAGCCATGTCCTTTTTTTGTGAAATTCAACTGAGGGACATTCAACATGAATAAACAAAATAAAAGCTGTAGTGCATGATGGCAACAGCCTACTCTGCTCAGTCTTTTCTTTCTACCTCGCTCAAAAGTGTTCCTTTTCTTACGTTTCGGGACAGATTCGATTGTGAACACATTTCTGTAGCCCTATCGTCCCCACACCCACCCGTCTCCCTCATGTAAACATCTCCCTCCAGTTGAGTAATATTAATTCATCTACGCAGTTCTGTTTCAGGCAAGCCAGGTCTGTAACCATTTCACTACTTTCTATGCTATACATGTACAGTATCCATCTGTTAAATATGCTACAGTTCAATCATTTGTGCATTTGTAACGAACAGGTTAGGTTCTCTTATTAACAAATGTACATTATTATGTTTACATATATCACAGACAGTAATACAAGTATATTTGAAAGTGACCATATTATCTATGTCATAGGTTCTATGCAATTTGAGTTATGTTTTTTGTTGATGTTGAACTGTTTGATGAATATTGCAGTTCCCTTCAGACGAATACCATACGTTATATTATCTGACATGTGTTAGTTTTGAGTTATAGGTTCAGACCTAGTATTCAATCTCAACCTTATTATATGTGTTTTCAAAACACTGAAAGGTTAGGCTATCTTGGTTTGATGAGGCACATAGCGTCCAACTGACTACACCTTAAAATCAGATGGTTGTCACATGTAGACAAGATAAGTTCTGTGTTTGTTTTCAGATGGTTGCTAAGTTATTTTTGTGAGATTAATATCATATCATTACCCTACCTCTTTAAGGAATACCTGGGATAGTATAAAAGTAATCCTTCTACCCACCCCCCCCCCCCCACCCCACCCCACAAAAAAAAAAATATAAATAATAATAAAATATTAGAATAAAAAAGTAATAAAATAAAAATACAAAAAATATATATACAGTGAGGGAAAAAAGTATTTTGGGGATTTTGTCCCACTCCTCTTTGCAGATCTTCTCCAAGTCATTAAGGTTTCGAGCCTGACGTTTGGCAACTCGAACCTTCAGCTCCCTCCACAGATTTTCTATGGGATTAAGGTCTGGAGACTGGCTTGGCCACTCAAGGACCTTAATGTCCTTCTTCTTGAGCCACTCCTTTGTTGCCTTGGCCGTGTGTTTTGGGTCATTGTCATGCTGGAATACCCATCCACAACCCATTTTCAAGAGGTTCTCACCCAAGATTTGACGGTACATGGCGCTGTCCATTGTGTGTCCCCTTAGCAGAAAAACACCCCCAAAGCATAATGTTTCCACCTCCATGTTTGACGGTGGGGATGGTGTTCTTGGGGTCATAGGCAGCATTCCTCCTCCTCCAAACACGGCGAGTTGAGTTGATGCCAAAGAGCTCGATTTTGGTCTCATCTGACCACAACACTTTCACCCAATTCTCCTCTGAATCATTCAGATGTTCATTGGCAAACTTCAGACGGGCCTGTATATGTGCTTTCTTGAGCAGGGGGACCTTGCGGGCGCTGCAGGATTTCAGTCCTTCACGGCGTAGTGTGTTACCAATTGTTTTCTTGGTGACTATGGTCCCAGCTGCCTTGAGATCATTGACAACATCCTCCCGTGTAGTTCTGGGCTGATTCCTCACCGTTCTCATGATCATTGCAACTCCACGAGGGAGATTGACAGTTATTTTGTGTTTCTTCCATTTGCGAATAATCGCATCAACTGTTGTCACCTTCTCACCAAGCTGCTTGGCGATGGTCTTGTAGCCCATTCCAGCCTTGTGTAGGTCTACAATCTTGTCCCTGACATCCTTGGAGAGCTCTTTGGTCTTGGCCATGGTGGAGAGTTTGGAAACTGATTGATTGATTGCTTCTGTGGACAGGTGTCTTTTATACAGGTAACAAACTGAGATTAGGAGCACTCCCTTTAAGAGTGGGCTCCTAATCTCAGCTCGTTACCTGTATAAAAGACACCTGGGAGCCAGAAATCTTTCTGATTGTGAGGGGGTCAAATACTTATTTCCCTCATTAAAATGCAAATAAATGTATAACATTTTTGACATGCGTTTTTCTGGATTGTTTTGTTGTTATTCTGTCTCTCACTGTTCAAATAAACCTACCATTAAAATTATAGACTGATCATTTCTTTGTCAGTGGGAAAACGTACAAAATCAGCAGGGGATCAAATACTTTTTTCCCTCACTGTATATATATAAAACAAATGAAAATTAAAAATATACTCGAAAAATTATAAATTGAAAATGTGTAAAGTGGTTGTCCCACTGGCTATCATAAGGTGAATGCACCAATTTGTAAGTCGCTCTGGATAAGAGCGTCTGCTAAATGACGTAAATGTAAATGTAATTATGAACTTTCTAGACCCCTATGATTGGGGCCTGGCCCTTTACAAAAGCATTTTCAATTCTGGTTGCTTTAGGTTTGCTTTGCAACTGTTCTTACACTGTTCCCACATAGTTTATAGTGTAATTAAAACCAAACAGATTTATGTTAAATTATTTTAGTCACAGCTGATCTTGATGTCTTTGTAAGGCCCTCTTCTGGTTCTCTGTCATGGTGTTATCAGTGCTGTTATGTCTGCAGTTTGGTCATTGTCCTTCAACAGATTATAATGTCGATGAACATGGCGTCCGACATCAGTCCAGCAGGGGTGGTAGGAGGGGCAAATACCACTACGGTGGGAGGAAGTAAACCCCTGCACCGCTTCATGAGAGGGGAGCCCAAGAGTATTGGGGTGAGACTGGAAAACAGAGAACTGATGTATATTCATTGCTGCCAAATACTCCAAGGAGTCATTGAAGACAAACAATGTGAAAATGTTATTTTGTGTAAAATGTTTGTATTTACCATTAATTTAGTGGTATCACTTTACATTACAGCACAAAATAAAGTGGTAATCGAATCAAATCAAATTGTATTTGTCACATTTGTCGAATACAACCGTACCGTGAAATGCTTACTTACAAGCTCTTAACCAACAATGCAGTTTTAAGGAAATAGAGTTAAGAAAATATGTGCTAAATAAATTAAAGTAAAAATTTAAAAAGAAATAAAGTAACACAATAAAATAACTATAATGAGGCTATATACAGGGGGTACCGGTATCGAGTCAAAGTGCGGGGGTACAGGTTAATTGAGGTAATTTGTACATGTAGGTAGGGGTAAAGTGACTATGCATAGATAATAAACAGTGAGTAGCAGCAGGGGGGGGGTAGAAGGGGGTTCAATGCAAATAGTCCGGGTGGCCATTTAATTAATTGTTCAGCAATCTTACGGCTATGGGGTCGAAGATGTTAAGGAGCCTTTTGGACCTAGACTTGGCGCTCTGGTACCGCTTGCCGTGCGGTAGCAGAGAGAACAGTCTATGACTTGGGTGACTGGAGTCTTTGACAATTTTTTGGGCCTTCCTCTGACACCGCCTAGTAATAACATGGTAATAGCAGGGTAACATATGTCACGACAGTAATCATAATAAAAACATTATTTTCCCAGATACCTCTTAATTGTTGTGTAAATATATGATTATTTCGGTGTCTTTGTTCTATGTCCCTGGTTGGTTAGATTGTAATGCTGTTCTTTGTTCTATGTCACTGGTTGGTTAGATTGTAATGCTGTTCTTTGTTCTATGTCCCTGGTTGGTTAGATTGTAATGCTGTTCTTTGTTCTATGTCCCTGGTTGGTTAGATTGTAATGCTGTTCTTTGTTCTATGTCCCTGGTTGGTTAGATTGTAATGCTGTTCATGGGATCATCACTCTTCATCTTGGGGATTCCCATGAGGCTGGATACATTGACGTCCTCTGCGGACACTTTCACCGCTTTTTGGCTAGGAATCCTGGTACGCCTTTCTTCCGTGTGTCTATATAAATCTATGATATTGACAATCCAAATGTCATACCATAAATCTAACTTGCAGTAACACATACCTTTCAATCTTAAACCCCTATTTCTAAATCTTCCATTCAATGATATCTTTCAGACCTTCTCCCATGACAGTTTTGGTATGTTGTTGAACTTATAAACCCCCTCCCTCTGCTTTGTGACAGTTCATCATCCCTGGGTTGTTATATGTGCTCGCAGAGAATAATCCTTCAAAACAACTGGTGAGTCCCATGAATTGGAATTCCGTGAAAAGGCATTATAAAGGATTAATTATGGCACATTACTGTTCATAACTATATAGCAAACCATTTTCATTCTATAAAAAAAATAAGCTGAGTGTAGAAAACATTAGGAACACCTTCCTAATATTGAGTTGCACCCCCTTTTGCCCTCAGAACAGCCTCATTTTGTCAGGGCATGGACTCTACAAGGTGTCGAAAGCGTTCCACACGGATGCTGGCCCATGTTGACTCCAATGCTTCCCACAGTTGTGTCAAGTTGGCTGGATGTCCTTTAGGTGGTGGACCATTCTTGATACACACAGGAAATTGTTGAGCGTAAAAAAAACAGCAGCTTTGTAGTTCTTGACACGCTCAACCATACCCCGTTCAAAGGCACTTAAATATTTTGTCTTGCCCGTTCACCCTCTGAATGGCACACATACACAATCCATGTCTCAATTGTCTCATGGCTTAAAAATATTTCTTGAACCTATCTCCTCCCCTTCATCTACACTGACTGAAGTGGAATGAACAGGTGATGTCAACAAGGGATCATAGCATTCACCTGGATTCACCTGGTCACCTATGTCATGGAAAGAGCAGGTGTTCCTAATGTTTTGTACACTCAAGTGTAGAGTGAGAGTTCATGCGTGCATTCCACAGAAAGAGATCTCTCTTAAGTAACTTTACCAAAGAAAAGCATAAATGAATGTCCTCTCTACATGGCTTCTACAGTTCCTCCTCCCATTCTGTTTTTCTTATTAGTCTTATTAAAAACCACTGTGCAAAAGGTAAATAGTGACAATTTTCAAGATGGTTCTTCTTTAGGACTGTTCCCAGACCCTGACAACAGTTCATCACAATTTGATTGTCTCTCTGTATTTCAATATGGAAATGTCAAGTTAATAAATGCCTTTTAAATTATATGTTCACCTTCCTCATGTTAAAGTGCCTTGAAAGAGGCTTTGTCACAAAGTGGTTGCAGTTCTTTCACCACTTTATTTGTTCTCACCCTGTAGGTGACAGCAAGCCTGGCCCTTAGTATCATCTCTATGTTGGGGGTCACAGTCGCTTTCTTTGAATTCCTTAAAGGCATCGTGGAAATGCGGCACGTATATGACTACTATGATCATTACCATTATGACAACAACATCACAGCATCTGCCAGAGTTGTAGTTTCTGTCCCCTGGCGTAAACAACATATGGTATGTTATGTTGTTGTTGTTGTGATACTGGATCACTGTTATCTGGATAAATTATTATTATCGCTTAGGTATTTGGTTCGTAACAATCTCTTTTAAAAATGCATCCAGTAAATGGAATAAAGAAAGGATAAACATCTGCAGCTTTAAAACGCCCGTAACCTTTCTCATTCTGTTTAAATAAAGAGACCTTTCATTCTCTGCTCTCTCATCATCACAGTACCAGTTGATCAGCCTTGAGGCTGTATTCATGTACCAGAGCTTAGTAGGCATGGTGCTCCTAATTGTGATGACAACATTTGCCAGGGTTGCCCTGCGGTCCAGTATGACACAGGTAAAGTACTATGACATGCTTTTAAAAAACGTAGCTTTATGTATTGTGACCTGGGGCTTGTAGACTGTGGTCAATATGCCAGTACAACAAATACATACCCTACAGAATCAGACATAATCTTAACTGCAAATAATGTTATTACAGTGTATATTTATATACAGTACAGTGTATATAATGTTTTTTTTTTGTCTATCTCATGCAGGAATGGTAGATAAACTCTGTCCTTTCTTCTTTATAGGCAATTGTGGTAATTCAAGATCTACCATCACCAGACTGAATAAAGAAAACAAGCCTTTTCTGACTGTCTCTGCCATGATGGATGGATAGAAAACTTGGACTTGCACATTGATATAAAATATATGTATTCACCAATATGTAGAACATTTCTTTAAATCCACATATATGGAAATGTCTTTGTATACACTCATCTTTCTATACACTTGTACTTTGTAATAAATGTAACATACATTGCTCAACTAGGGCCTATGTAACAGTATAAGAAAATAGACTAAAGGCAAACACAGGTAGCAATATCTGTGTGTTTTCAAAACATACTCCCCTTTCAAAATAAAACAACATCCATGTAGTGCAATAGACAATTAACATCATTATAGAGGGGTTGGTTGTATAGCAACAACACCGAGGCATGAGCAGCTATGGGGCAAAACAGACGAGGTTGGCTTAGAATGTTGACAACATGTAAGCTATATTTACTCTCCAATGTTTATTGAAAACTTAAATACATTTGCACAATGAGCACTTGTTGTCTCTCAAATACATTGTTACAGTTGTTGGTTGGCTAGCTAGCGAAGTTTAGCCATATTAGCATTGACATGAAATCAGTCCAAACACCTCAAAGCAAGACATGGTCTCCATCACCTAGGACTTGACATAGATTAAATAGATTAATCAAATCTCACATTGTTGTCCATTTCTGCTCAATCTTGCATGCTTTCTCAATCAGCTGTAACTGTATATGCATTCGTAAATCAGGTCCTTTCTTGAGTTGGGCTCTGGGATGTAACAACCGTTGAGCATCTGATTTTATGGTTGATTGTGGAGGAAAGGGGTTGAGTGTGTTAGAGTATGTGAGTATGTGCGTGTGTGTTTATCCCACATCTGTTGCAAGGGGGTAAGGATGTTAGGGAGAATATAGGATGAACCACAATAATTGTTTGCTAAAATAATAATTGCTTGTCAAAAATGAAATGTAATACAATGGCAATCTGGGTTATATGTTAAAATCCTACGCATGAACTGCTGACATTATTACGCATATTAATTGATAATGATGGAAAATAAGATATGCAAGATATTTGAATAGATATATATATTTAAATAGTTATATATATTGAGGTGACAGCATTGGAAATGCTTTTGGCGGTTATCCTGCTTCTGTTTTGCGGGTGGCACTGTGTGCTGTTTTCTATGGATGGGTCCTGGCCTCTCGGGGCCCTAGGGATCCGGAGGGACGGGGGTGGGATGCCGATCAAATATACTTCTCCTATGAGCAAAGAAACTCAAAAGGGGTGATGATATTAATTAATAGTAATTTCGATCTGAATGTGCAAATTGTCGAAATAGATACGCAAGGTAGATGGATTATTTTAAATATGTTATTGGACCATAAACAGATATAGCTCATTAACCTTTACGGACCAAATAATGATGATCCACACTTCTTTGACAATTTATATAATAAATGATCAACCCTGCAAGCAATTCAAGACAATATTATTATGGTGGGGGATTATAATACTGTTTTAAATACAGTGGGGAGAACAAGTATTTGATACACTGCCGATTTTGCAGGTTTTCCTACTTACAAAGCATGTAGAGGTCTGTAATTTTTATCATAGGTACACTTCAACTGTGAGAGACGGAATCTAAAACAAAAATCCAGAAAATCACATTGTATGATTTTTAAGTAATTAATTTGCATTTTATTGCATGACATAAGTATTTGATCACCTACCAACCAGTAAGAATTCCGGCTCTCACAGACCTGTTAGTTTTTCTCTAAGAAGCCCTCCTGTTCTCCACTCATTACCTGTAATAACTGCACCTGTTTGAACTCGTTACCTGTATAGAAGACACCTGTCCACACACTCAATCAATCAGACTCCAACCTCTCCACAATGGCCAAGACCAGAGAGCTGTGTAAGGACATCAGGGATAAAATTGTAGACCTTCACAAGGCTGGGATGGGCTACAGGACAATAGGCAAGCAGCTTGGTGAGAAGGCAACAACTGTTGGCGCAATTATTAGAAAATGGAAGAAGTTCAAGATGACGGTCAATCACCCTCGGTCTGGGTCTCCATGCAAGATCTCACCTCGTGGGGCATTAATAATCATGAAGAAGGTGAGGGATCAGCCCAGAACTACACGGCAGGACCTGGTCAATGACCTGAAGAGAGCTGGGACCACAGTCTCAAGGAAAACCATTAGTAACACACTACGCCGTCATGGATTAAAACCCTGCAGTGCACGCAAGGTCCCCCTGCTCAAGCCAGCGCATGTCCAGGCCCGTCTGAAGTTTGCCAATGACCATCTGGATGATCCAGAGGAGGAATGGGAGAAGGTCATGTGGTCTGATGAGACAAAAATAGAGCTTTTTGGTATAAACTCCACTCGCCGTGTTTGGAGGAAGAAGAAGGATGTGTACAACCCAAGAACACCATCCCAACCGTGAAGCATGGAGGTGGAAACATCATTCTTTGGGGATGCTTTTCTGCAAAGGGGACAGGATGACTGCACCGTATTGAGGGGAGGATGGATGGGGCCATGTATCGCGAGATCTTGGCCAACAACCTCCTTCCCTCAGTAAGAGCATTGAAGATGGGTCGTGGCTGGGTCTTCCAGCATGACAACGACCCGAAACACACAGCCAGGGCAACTAAGGAGTGGCTCCGTAAGAAGCATCTCAAGGTCCTGGAGTGGTCTAACCAGTCTCCAGACCTGAACCGAATAGAAAATCTTTGGAGGGAGCTGAAAGTCCGCATTGCCCAGCGACAGCCCCGAAACCTGAAGGATCTGGAGAAGGTCTGTATGGAGGAGTGGGCCAAAATCCCTGCTGCAGTGTGTGCAAACCTGGTCAAGACCTACAGGAAACGTATGATCTCTGTAATTGCAAACAAAGGTTTCTGTACCAAATATTCAGTTCTGCTTTTCTGATGTATCAAATACTTATGTCATGCAATAAAATGCAAATTAATTACTTAAAAATCATACAATGTGATTTTCTGGATTTTTGTTTTAGATTCCGTCTCTCACAGTTGAAGTGTACCTATGATAAAAATTACAGACCTCTACATGCTTTGTAAGTAGGAAAACCTGCAAAATCGGCAGTGTATCAAATACTTGTTCTCCCCACTGTAGCTCAATGGACCGTAAAGGAAATCACACCACAAACAATCACCCTCATGCTCTTAAGGAAATCGTTAATGTCATGGATACATTAGAACTAGTAGATACAGAGAGGGAAAAAAGTATTTGATCCCCTGCTGATTTTGTATGTTTGCCCACTGACAAAGACATGATCAGTCTATAATTTTAATGGTAGGTTTATTTGAACAGTGAGAGACAGAATAACAACAAACAAATCCAGAAAAACGCATGTCAAAAATATTATAAATTGAGGGAAATAAGTATTTGACCCCTCTCAATCAGAAAGATTTCTGGCTCCCAGGTGTCTTTTATACAGGTAACGAGCTGAGATTAAGAGCACACTCTTAAAGGGAGTGCTCCTAATCTCAGTTTGTTACCTGTATAAAAGATACCTGTCCACAGAAGCTATCAATCAATCAGATTCCAAACTCTCCACCATGGCCAAGACCAAAGAGCTCTCCAAGGATGTCAGGGACAAGATTGTAGACCTACACAAGGCTGGAATGGGCTACAAGACCATCGCCAAGCAGCTTGGTGAGAAGGTGACAACAGTTGGTATGATTATTGGCAAATGGAAGAAACACAAAAGAACTGTCAATCTCCCTCGGCCTTGGGCTCCATGCAAGATCTCACCTCGTGGAGTTGCAATGATCATGAGAACGGTGAGGAATCAGCCCAGAACTACACGGGAGGATCTTGTCAATGATCTCAAGGCAGCTGGGACCATAGTCACCAAGAAAACAATTGGTAACACACTACGCCATGAAGGACTGAAATCCTGCAGCGCCCGCAAGGTCCCCCAGCTCAAGAAAGCACATATACATGCCGGTCTGAAGTTTGCCAATGAACATCTGAATGATTGAGAGGAGAACTGGGTGAAAGTGTTGTGGTCAGATGAGACCAAAATCGAGCTCTTTGGCATCAACTCAACTCGCCGTGTTTGGAGGAGGAGGAATGCTGCCTATGACCCCAAGAACAGGTGGAAACATTATGCTTTGGGGGTGTTTTTCTGCTAAGGGGACAGGACAACTTCACCGCATCAAAGGGACGATGGACGGGGCCATGTACCGTCAAATCTTGGGTGAGAACCTCCTTCCCTCAGCCAGGGCATTGAAAATGGGTCGTGGATGGGTATTCCAGCATGACAATGACCCAAAACACACGGCCAAGGCAACAAAGGAGTGGCTCAAGAAGAAGCACATTAAGGTCCTGGAGTGGCCTAGCCAGTCTCCAGACATTAATCCCATAGAAAATCTGTGGAGGGAGCTGAAGGTTCGAGTTGCCAAACGTCAGCCTCGAAACCTTAATGACTTGGAGAAGATCTGTAAAGAGGAGTGGGACAAAATCCCTCCTGAGATGTGTGCAAACCTGGTGGCCAACTACAAGAAACGTCTGACCTCTGTGATTGCCAACAAGGGTTTTGCCACCAAGTACTAAGTCATGTTTTGCAGAGTGGTCAAATACTTATTTCCCTCATTAAAATGCAAATCAATGTATAACATTTTTGACATGCGTTTTTCTGGATTTTGTTGTTGTTATTCTGTCTCTCACTGTTCAAATAAACCTACCATTAAAATTATAGACTTATCATTTCTTTGTCAGTGGGATAACGTACAAAATCAGCAGGGGATCAAATACTTTTTTCCCTCACTGTATATGGAGGCTTAAATATCCTGATCTAGTGAGATATACATGGCAGAGACTCAATCAAGCTAGTCGTCTTGACTTCTTTCTTATGTCATTCTCGTTGGCACCAAAAGTTTAAAAAGTGTTGATAGGGGACAGAATGCGGTCGGACCGTCATATAATTGGAATATACATTACTCTTACTGAATTTCCACGTGTGCGAGGATATTGGAAATTTAATCAAAGCCTATTGGATGATA